AAAAAAAAAAAAAAAAAAAAACAAAGAAAAAAAAAACCCAAATAATGCCGATGAAAAAAAAAAAACCAAATAAAAACCAATACTGTTCTACAGCAGCCACGCGCGGCAGAATTCAGGAATACCGCAGAGCTAGTCCCTTCGCGAACGGTCTGGTGACTCAAGGCACGCAGAAGCAAAATCCGAAGGGCCGATCGATGGATGAGTTTAGAGCATTGTGGTGTGCTTCGCCGCAGCCGTGGGGCCGATGCAGTGAAGACCGACAGAGTCCAGGTATCAGCTTCGAGAGTAGCCTGAAGGAATTGAAGCGCGAATGAATCGCGAGCCGTGTGACTCCGGCCAGCACTAACTGAAGAACTCCAGACCCGGAGCACATGAACCCACTGCGACGTGTTGGTATTTTCATTGTTCTAATAAAATCGAGCTCAATTTGTGTCGCAAGAGAGACAACCACAGTCAAGGACTGGGAAATAATAAAAATACGAACATTTAAGCAAAGGACGACAGAAACAATGGAGTAACATCTAGACTAGAAAAGGGTACATCTCTGCAAACTGAAGATGTCAAGATCGCCACAGGAGTTTAGATATCCGGAGGAGCTACAAATTCGACCGGAAGAAGAGCGAAGCAACGAGGTTCTATTAGACGGCGACAAAATGAGCGCAGGCACACTAAACTGTAGGCAGTTCCGAAAATCACAATGCCTGGCCAGTTTCAGACGGCATCCCCATCCCGTAACAAAAACAAGAGGATTCTCTGAAGAGAGTGTTCTACCTAACGTACACGCCCTCAAACAAACCGCTTCGAACACCGCAAGGAAAGAAAGGGTAATAAACGTTGGTCCCAGAAAAAATTACCTGGCTAGAAATGCTACTTTACAAAAACGAAAACATACTAATTATGTGTTTTTGCATATAAGCAAATGCAATAAATAGCAACGCGCACCAGACTAGCCTGTGCGATCACGCGTTTTGTGCAATTCAGCCCATCGAACGATTGCCTATTAATGATTTTCACTGCCTTGTACTTCAGTCTATGCAGAAATAGTTCAAACACTGGAAAATAGTTAAAAATTTCACGCGAAAGCGCATAAAAGCTGAATCCGAAACCTTGAAGGGTGAATATCTCTCCGTGATTCCCGAGCTAATAGTTTACCCGCCAAAATTTTTACGAGGACGTAGGTGGTACTTGAGAGCGCGAGAAAGCTGAATTTGAATGGGCAAGGTTGAGCGGAGGCAGGGAGTCATACCCCTAAAATTTCGGCTTCCTATACTCCGTGGTCCCCAAGATATTAACTTACCCGTAAAAAACTTTCACGGGGCCGTACGCGTTACCCGCCGGTACGGGGAAGCTGAATTTAAATTTGCGGGGTCACATGTGGGTGGGGAACGTTCCCTAAATTTTCATCTCCCTAGCTTTTGTGGTTCCCGAGTTGAAAGTTGCGGACAAATTGCTGCGGACACACGCACACACAAACACACACACAGACAACCCCGTGACAATATGCGTTTTGTACTGCTGTTACACAGTACAAAACGCATAAAAACGCATTGTAACAACCCCGGTTTGCGTGTGTGCGTTTGTGTGCGCATCTGTCCGGACTTCAACTCGGCGGCGAAGCAAACTCCCGCGCTGAAATATTGCCGGTGGATTTCCGGGCCAAGTGTCGCCCCAGGACCGCGGTGCCAGCCTTCACACACGTTCGGGCCCCAAGTACGACCATGTGAGAGTGCCGGTGGGAAAATCGCTAACTCGGAAACCAGAAAAACAGGGAGGTTGAAACTTTAAGTGGACGTTTGCAGCTCAAGTACAGCTTAAATTCAGCTCCCAACTGTGCATGGTTCTCACGTACTGCCCGTGCAATTTTTTGGCAGGAAAACCGTTAATTCGGGAAGTCAGGAAATTGATATTTCAACGAAATGTCCTCCGCCCAAGTACCACGTGGTTGCACAGTTAACTTTCTGAAAAAGAGTGTCAAAAATTCTAGCTGCTGGAATTCCAAGCGTTCTCACCACAGTACGGAATACTGCAAAAACGCATGATCGCACGGGCCCACCTGGTGAGCGTTGCAAATGATTTTACAATGTGACCAATCACTTCCCTCAGTTGAACTACCATAATTAATGCGGTTGTTTCTTTTCGACTTTCTTAATAAAGGAACCCAGGCTGGAACGCAATGGGCGGGCCCGTGCGATCATGCGTTTTTGCACCGGACTTGAATTACTCAGGTCGTTAACTATATGAATGACTGTTGCTTTACACCTACCTTTTGCGGTCATTAGCATAAATCATCATAAATTTTGTAAAGTAAATGCACAATTTCCATTTAACAGTCGTTCTTTAAAAGTAATCTAGTTGTTCAGCGAGAAATGTTTTCGTCAAGACTTGTAAGTGCCCGTACGTAAGAATCACGCATACCTCAAGGCTGAGTTTGAAATTCTTAAGTTGTACTTGGATAGGGAACATTCCCTCAAAATTTCAGCTTTCCAGCTTTTCTGATTACTGAGTTAGCAATTTTCCCGCCAAAACCTTCACATACCCGTACTTAGGTACTCCACATGCTTGGAAAGCTGAATTTGAAATTTTTAAATTGCACGTGGACAGGGAACATCCGTCTAAAATTTCAGCCTTCCAGTTCTTCTGGTTACCGAGTTAGCAATTTTCCTGCACAAACTTTCATACGCCCTTACGTGAGTACCATGCATATCTGGGGGCTGAATTTGAAATATCCGAGTTGTGCTTGGATAGGGAACATTCCCCCAAATTTCAGCTTTGCAGCTTTCCTGGTACGCGAGTTAGCAATTTTTCCCTTAAAACTTTCATACACCCTTACGTGAGTACCACGCACACTTAGGGGCTGAATTTGAAATCTCTAGATAGTACATGCACAGGGAATATCCCTACAAAGTTTCTGCCCCTTAGCCCATGTGGTTCCCGAGATCGCTTCCCCGCCAA